TCCCGCCATTCGTTACGCTTAACATGATTTACGGTCGCAAAACCGAACACGATTGCAATCAATTTGCCGGCACATAAATTAAGGCAATACGGACAAATTGAGAAACCGCAAACAAACCGTGGGCCAGCGGCCTTGCATTTTCCATGGCCCAACGTTAAGCATTTAAACGAAACGTGAGCTGGATCGTGAGGCTATTTCCGGCCTCCCGCGGAGAATCCGATCTGAAAATCGATGTACGTTTCAGCAGTTATCGGCGAATGTAAATCAAGTGAACGCATCAGTTATCTGCACAATTGCCACAATATAGTGTTCCAAAATTGTCCCAATTATAAAGAAAACTAGTAATAGAAATAAGAAAGCGACGAACCTACGCCTCCTGCATCACAGGGCAGAGCAATGCTAAATTATGAGTCATTAATTTGAAAGAGGATAAAAATATACGTTTTAATTGTTGGATATTATTTGAATGTTATATGTTACAAATTTATAGAACAAGTAAAAATGGTCTAGAACTTCATACAATGGTGACGCATAGTTATTTTTAAATTCATATTTGTTTTTTTTATATTTTTGTAATAATTTGTCTAAATTCAAACTATTAATTTTTCAAAAAATTAGTACAAGTTATTTTGTGTTTATAAGCGGATTCAGTTTGAAGACTTTCGGCTATTGCCTGTTTAAAACAATGGTTCTAATTTTTAATAATAATAGTAATAATAGCCTTTATAGAGATATTTTAAATTATTGCACAAGATTTTAAAAAAATTACTTAATACCAATACAAACTAATGTAGTTACACATCTCAAACAGCGAAGTCTAGCTTAAGTTCTTGACATTAACCAAATATTACAATAAAAAAGAAACAACAAGCTATAATAATAACATAAAAGTGTAAAAATTAATTTTTGGTAAAATATTAATTTATTTAGGGCAGAGACTTTTGTAATTCCAATAAATGAACCTTAAATTTTTTCCTAAATACTAGAACTGAACTGAATTTACAAGAATTATGTTGGGGCATATCCAGAATGTTTTTCGTCCTTAGAGGAGCATTGTGCATTTCATACCGAAACACTAAACAATCTTTCAGGTACAGGTACAAATATTTTTTTCTAATATACGATCAAACTTTCTCAAACCATACACTAATCGGACACAGCTGTTCTGGATAAATGGATAGAATAACTTTAGAAAGGGCATACCTCAGAGAGTTTTTTTGCTAGCCAACCTTGTAGTTCTTAGAATCTGAAAGCTTCTAAACTTATCAAAAACTATTTCAGTAAGTTCGGAACACAGCAAGTATTTATCATAATTATATAAAAAAATAGTAAAAAAAGGTTTTATGGTATAAATGTTTTCATTTCACACACTCATTCCGAGACTTATAATGACAGCTAAAAACTGTTTCTTTTAATTAGTCTTTTTTTCATTTTCAAATACCTATTATTGTGTGTATTTTTCTAAACAACAGCATTTATTCTCCATTTTTGTGGTGACTCACCAATTGTTCGCGGTCTGCCCTTTCTTTGCCTTATTGTAGAGGTCGTGTTGAACTCAGACGTAACGACTTATGCATACCTACATTTCCGCGTTTATCTGCACTAGCTAGAATAGTGAAGCAAAATGAATGCGTAATGGCCACAGAAAACTAGAAAATACCAAGTTATTTAGTATTGTTTTGTTTTATACTTTATAGTTTTATGTGCGTATCTGTTTGGTTTATGTCATATTGAAAGCCAGTGATCCAAAACTCTAAAACAAAGTTAAATTGAAAGGGAGCCTGTAGTATAGGTACATAAAATACCTAAACGGTTATTCTTCTTTTAGGATTAATTTTGCCCAGTTCTCGTGAAATGTTCTCGGAAAGCGAATTAATTGTGGAAAAACCGCTACTTAGTGTGGTTAATGGGTGAAATGTAGAGGCATGCGCGGAAAATCATTACCTTCTCTACGAAAATGTTAGTGTTCCCTGCTGCGCATCAGTTTTTACCATAGTAAGGTCCACTATATTATCTAATAGCTATATGGTTGCTATCAAGAGTATAAGATGGAGAGGAACGCTCCCATTAGTGGCAATGTTAAAAAGCGTACACGACTTTCAACGCCTCTAGTGATTGTGTCCAGTCATGAAAACGGACGTACGGTTCAATTCAATTTAAAGTTTGAAAGGCAAAACGTGAAAGAAAAAATTATATCGAAATAGTTTTAATAAACTTTTTATTAAAATATAAATAAAGTGATGTTATTCGATTGGACACAAATATTAGATGCCATTCGTCTTCGTTGCTATATTAACCACGTAGGGTGAGAGAAAATAATTACAGCGAGGAGCAATAAATAGTTAAATTTAAGACTGACAGACTTTTACATTCGATGACTTGGAGCGTTCTATGGAAATCTGCAAACTAAACATAAATACATAAAACAATAAAATCACTGCATCCACGTACGAAACACGTCTTTGATTTGTTTACATAAACGTAAAATGACACTTACGAAAATTCAAACAACCCAGTTCATAGCAAACTTCACAGTATTCCGGCATTTTTGCTATTAGCAAAATCCAAAATCACCAACTTTTCGCTTTCGAAAAATCACTTGTCTCACAACAAATAAAGAAACGCAGAAGTAGTACGTGGATTCGAGGTTAAAAATTCCCCTAAATTGATGTTGATTCGTTGCAACGTTGACACATTAAAAAGTACATTTTTTCTAGAAACCGTATCGCTATTGTTAAAAAAGGAACTATTTGTTATTTTACCGGTAATGTTTAACGAAATATTAGCAAACGCATAGCGCATCGGTAAAAAAGCGCGGCATTGTCCAGCTCTGACAATATTCTCTCAGCCCTTGAAGATATTTGCATCACGTAAAAATTGAAACAATGCAGCAATTTCCGTTGTATGGGTACAGTCGGTCAAATATAAGCTTTTATACCGGGTTACTTTTGATCGCATAAACGACCGTTTATCCCTGGCGGCCAAAGAATGGAATTTCCCTAAGCGCTTATTCGATAAGTAGCATTTGAAGATGGAAAAATATTAAAAATTCCACGAGAATCCCTCTGGCATCTGCAGATCAACGAATCGAGTGGGTGGCTCGTATAAAAATGTCATTTTGTAAGCGCCTCGGGTGTCGAAAAACCTGAAAATGGCCGCCTTTAAATGCAAGCCGGCTTTTACAGCGAGCCGAGGCGCATTTGTGTCGTCATCCGGGTTGCGATAAACCCAATTCGAGCCGACCGACGGCGACGACGTCGAAGAATGTCATGCAATTTGAATTCCACGTGACGAACACGGTGGACATTACTTCGTGGGCCCCCAAACGGGTGGACGAGTTTATATTTATTAAAAATGCCGACGCCAAAAATGACCGATATTGGCACTAAAGTATCCACCGCCCGTTAGAATGGACCAAGTGCGAAGCTTTCCGTTTTTTTTTATCGTGCTCCTGCGGACCACTATGTAACCTTCGCAAAATCAATGGTTTTTTTTTGCGGCCTTAATAGAAAAATGATAGAAACCGTGTTAAATCATGGTGTTTTAGTTAGGGACAATTTTCTAAGATCTAATTTTTTATGTCCATGCACACCGTGCATGTTTTTAAATTTTTTTTAATACTTCCCGAAACTAGAGGTTAGAAGAAGTGTTAAATTCATCCTAACTTCGTACTTTAATATAAATAAAAATAACAAATAAATACCATATTTTACCGACAAAGTATGGAATCCAGTCATTCGTAAATAACTTTCGGCGTTTATGGTTTAGCAAAAAAAAAATCTGATTAAACTGTTTTGATAAATGCCACTGGATACGTTACTGTGGAATATTGGTTATGCTACTTTATTTCAAAATTGCGATTGTCCTCGGCATTCTGCTTCTTCAAACTTCGAACTATGCACTATCAATTGTCGGCGTTTTATAACAATCCTATTAATACATTCAGTATTCTTGAATTTATTCATTATTTTGGTACCAGTTGAATGAGTAATATTTTTATTTACATGTCTATTATTAAAATTGATTGGCTTCTTCTCTATTGATTTTATAATTTTCTCTCACAATCAAAACGATTTCAATTGTCATAATAACGCTACCATATTTATGAGTAAACTTCAAACACGTTTTGACGGTTTTTTTTTCGTACCACTTTACAAAAAAAACTGACACACAACACACACATCGTAATATATCAGCTTTTACAGAACGTTTTAAAGAAGAATTAAATATTATAAAACAAACCAATTTGAATAATGGTTACGATACCTCTTTGATAGATAAGATTATAACTAAAAATCAGTTTCAAATAACTCTAAACTCTATTTACCCAGTATTAAACACCGATCCCAATATGGTGCCAAAATTACTTTTAAAACCGAAAATACCATAGGAAAATATTTAAAAGTCAATTAAACTAAGCCACAAAAACTCAAAACTCCGAACAAATACTCAAGAAACGCATTGTAGAACAGAAATAATTTTATTGAAATAAAAATTTCGATTCTAATTATGCCATTCATTTAAATTGAGAAATACACAAGTGAGGATAATATTCTTATTTTACATGGCGCATCAAAAAGCCATAAACTAAACTTATTGAAAGCCATGGGGATTTACAAAATAGGATTTGAATTGAAATTGGATTTGAATGGACCCCCGTTGGTAGATTAAATTGTAAACACCCTTCGAAAAGTACAACTGATAATAATTAATTACCCCCTTTTTATATTTATAGACGTCGAAAGATGGTAATTGCAATTCTGTATTTGATAAAAGCAGGGTGTTGCCGAAGAAATCATTCACCAACAAATAATTTAAGAAAATGCGAAAAACTGAATGTATTTTAGATTTTAAAATATTCGTATGATTATCTATGAAGAATAAGTTATTCCTAAAATTAATAATAAAAAAGTTTCCCGTATGGCTCCAACTTACTGAGACACACATATTCGACAAACTGGAATGGCAATTGTTAGTCCGACTTTTTTATTCGTTTACAGGATTACAACGATGACATCCGACAGGAGCAAATGTGGGAAATGCAGGTCCTCTCCAATCAAAGAAACAACGGGGGCGGCAAAGGCGGCGAAGAGAACGGTGGCGGCAATTTCAAAACGACTCCGGAAACGGCGACTGGGGAGGACAGGCTGAAGACGCCGACAGAGTCCGGGCTACAGAGCCCGCGGGACGCCGAGCATCCCGCCCTTCGGGGAATCCAACCAGGTAAATTAATAGACGAGCCACCCTTGTGTCGAGCTCGAGAAAGCTCTACGAGAATTTTAACAACCGATGGTGTGTGTATTTTAGCAAGAGCCCGTCGCGTGACGAATAATCGGGGTAATGTGATATAGGGCTGTTCACATTTATGTATTTATGTTATGAAAACGACATTTCCATCGACAGGGCAGCCCGTTTATTATGCGGTGATCCCTTATTTCAGAATCAGTTAAAAATATAAAAAAAAAACTTAAAGACAAAAGTTGCTCGTTATAACGGGTGCTTCAATAAGAGTTTCCACATTACAATCTGAAAAATTTTTGAAACGCCACTGTATTTTTTTATTATCATATGAGATAAACAAAATTAGTCATGCAGCAATATACGACTGAACAACGTGTAAAAATTGTGCAAGCCTATTATGAAAATGGTCGATCAAGAAAAAATGCATTTCGGACTCTACATGAACTCGGCGCGCACGGACCTTCTGAGAGGACAATTTAGAATGTGGTTAAAAAATTTGAGCAAACTGGATCTGTAACGAACCTCAAACTCCCTCAACGTGCTCGTGCAGATCGGTCAGATCAAAATATTGCCATTGTCCGTGTAGCCGAAGATCCAAACACATCGATTCGTCATCGATCGCAGCAAGTGTACCTTACGTATTCAACTACACAGCGAATTTTAAGAAAAGACTTGCAGCTACACCCATATAAAGTCCAAATAACTCAGGAGCTGAAACTTCGAGATCATCAACAGCGCCGCGTGTTTGCAGAATGGATACGAGAACAAGCGGTTCAATTTTCAACGAAAATCATCTTTGGCGATGAGGCACATTTTTACGTCGGTGGCTTTGTAAACAAACACAATGCTCGTATTTGGGGATTAGAAAATCCAAGAGAGATTGTTCAAAAAGCAATGCATCCTCAAAAAGTAACTGTTGCGCATTTTGGTGCGGAGGAATAATTGGCCCTTTTTTTTTCAAGGATAATGCGGAGAACGCTATTACGGTAATGGTGTTCGCTATCGAAACATGATATCTGATTTTTTCTGGGAGCAGTTGGAAGGTGTGGACATTGAAGATTTGTGGTTCCAACAGGATGGAGCCGCGTGTCACACATCCTGAGAAACGATGCAATTGCTGCGGGGCAAGTTTCCTGGTCGGATTATCTCACGTAACGGCGATATCAATTGGCCGCCGCGATCATGTGTATAGAAGTAAACCAAACACTATTCCAGAGCTGAAACAGGAGATTAGACGCGAAATAGCCGGCATAGAACCTGAATTGTGTCAAAAAGAGTGGAAACCCTTATTGAATCACCCTTTATATAAGGTTTGTTTGTATATCAACTTTCTTATTTTAAATAGAACATGCTGTATATTAGCACATTTTTTAAATTATTCAAAACTTTCTAGATTTAGATCTATAATATATTATGTCTTATCACTTTTAATATATTTTGAATTTTGTGTCAAAGGTGAAGAAGTCAATAGGAAAATTGCCGAAACATCAGTAAGTTTAATTCATCAACAACCGACGCAGGTGAAATCTAGAAGATTGATAAAGAGCTTTAAATGTGTAATAAAATCTATCGATTTTTCCAGTTCCGAAGCATCTGTGATATATTTAAGTTAAATGCCGGCTGATCAACAACTACCATTAAAAATGTATATGAAAAAGTCATTAACAGTCTTTTTTTTTAATGGAAACACGTAATTGTTATAATTTTGGAGTATTTAAGATTTTAGAGGGGTGACTTTGAATAAGGTTGTCTATTTGAACAAGTTATAGATTTAGCAATAAAACTTTTTTCATTGTAAAAATACTATGACGCCGATTTATGGTGAAATAAACAAAGAAATGTCACTACTTTGGCTTGATATCTGTCAATGTTTAACAGTTTGATGAGTTTAATACAAAGAAATGATCTCATATCCATACAACATTTTTCTAAAAAACAACTAAATAATGCAGAAAACAGTTGTAGTAAATTAAATAAATTAAAAATAAACAATACAAATGTACATTTTTTTGTTATATGCGGATCTATTAATTGAGTATAATCTTTAAACATGGTTAAATTTTTAAATTTCCGTTTTTTTATTCATTTAACCAAGCGTCTGTTTGCAGACTTTAGCCTATTTTGAAAATTTTCAGCAAATATCAAAATGTTTTTGACAAAATTTATCACATTCTAAGAAATTAAACAGATTCAAATAACTTTTGTGTTAGTAACTTAATTACCGGACATGACTTTTAAGATTTATTAAAAATTATCAAACACCAATTAATAGGTGCCCCTTCTATAGTGTTGATTGTTTTTCTTTGCTACGTTTTTACAATAGAAAAATATTTTAATAATAATATTTTGAATTCTAAAACTTTTTGAAGTAGGCCCACTTTATACAAAGAAACCCTTTTTAATGCTAAATGCTGGAAAATTATTATAATGGGGCATTTCCATTTGAAAAAATAATTTTAATGATTTTTTCATTTGAATTATAACGTTGGTTTTTAATGTCTCTATATCAAATTATTTTTTAAATATCAACACAAACCGCTAAAGTAGATCCTATTTTACAAGAAAATAACCATCAAATTATAACAAAGATTTGTGAATCAAAACTTTTGTTTTTAATTTTTTTTAAATGTCAAAATTCTTAATACTAAACAAAGAAAATTTTGCACTCGTTTTTTCTTATGTTTTGTAAATATTCGTCTACACGGTAAAAAGCTTTCTCTCTAATAATTTTTCTTTCACCATAAGTGAAATGGTTTCACAAGTTATTATTTGGCGAGTTATTTAAAAGTAATTGCCGTATATTTAGGGGGGAACGGAAAGCAAAATTTACCCTTTCTGCTGTTTAAATTATGCAGGATCACAATTTTTTTTTAATTTGACGCGATTTGAAGAAACAAATATAGAGATTTCGCTCGAAGATATTCCACGAGGGTTGACAAACCACAAACGACACCATATGGTAGCCTTACGACGGCATTTACACAATAAATCTAAAACTAGAGCGGAACTTTGAGAGTTTAATTTTGACCTTAGATATTTACAGAGCGTCTCAAACTCGGTGGACTTTTTCATGAAATCTAACACAAATTGCTATCCGGTTCGTATATATGTGGCAACGCTGCAATATCACAGATATTTTGTAAATTGATATCACAGGCCACCTCCATCGGTTGAGTTGATGTTATAGTTCCGAATATTTCAAACGAATGGCTTTCTATTTAACAACTTCTCTTAATTAGGAACCTCTAGTTTAATGTTTTTCCCGCAGTACGCGGGTTGTAAAAGCAACAAAAATACACCTAATAACATATGAACATAATATAATATAATAAAGGCAAGCAAGCGTCAACATGCAATTTGAGGCCTTTAAAGTGGGGTGTCGAGATTTCAACATTTATGATTATTGTGCGTACATTAGACTTTATTTTATGCCATTCAAACTTGTTCGCATTAAAAATAAAATAATATAACTTTTGTTGAAATATAAGTCTTTTTGAGCCTTTGCAAGTGCTGTGATTCTAAGACAACTCGCCTTTTGCCCGTTCATCTGTTCTGTTATTATCATGTTGTTATTATTTTTGTCGTAAAGGGCAAACAACTAGACTTTTTGGTGGACGATGGGACTATACAATCCAACACTCTTACTGTCAAGTGTCCGGATAGAGTCCAATGGTTTGTTAATGTTTTTATTGCATATCATAAAATAATTGAGGACAGGTCATATTATTATATCTCCAAAAATAACATAAACATAATTATGCCCACTCTGTTCTCGGAACAGGATGCTAGAGGAACAGGACCAAAAATTGGCGTACCTTACTAACTTCAGTGATAAAAAAATATCCCTTGTGCTTGCCCAAGTCTAGACGGTTGGAAGTGCAGGTGCTGGAATTAACCGACGCTCGGCGCCGTACGTGAGAATTATGCAATTTGTAAAGAGCTGCGATTAATCTTGCCGGTCTCGGTCGAATTTGTGCAGCGTTCGTCCATTTAATCCCGAGCAGCGGCTTTAAAAGATTTAGAAGATTTGTTCCGACCGCTTTTTCCATGATAGCGGGGAACGATTGTTATTGTAGAAGAGGGTTATTTTCCGTACAGGTCAGTTTTAATCTCTCCATTTCAGACATTTCAGACCACATTGCGTTTTTTGTTCCATAGCAGGGCCAAAGATTTACCTGGAATTGTCCTGACGCAATCTCACTACACCAGGTTTACTGGCCCTATCTGATCCACTATTAAACACACACATAATTAAATAACACTATTAAAATTTTGTCTGTATTCGATTTAGTATATCCGCTGAGATACGAAGAAAAACGGCTCGACAGAATTTTATAAAAACTATACCAATGATTCAAGGTCAATCAGAGAGCCTATATGAATTTTTTTTAACTTTTTTTAAAAGTGTCCATGAAAATGGACAATGGATTTTCATCAGGACATAATTTAACTGACTTTGAGAAAAGTCATAATCATAAAAGTAATTATGTTCTGATGTAATGCACAGGTAAATTTGGCAAAGATTACAAACAAAAATGTTTTCTTCTTACAATTTGTCTGCTTGTCTGCTTACAACGCATGGAATTCTAAATTTTTACTAACTCAGGCAAATGCATTCGCTGCTTACGTAGGGTTGGACTGGATCTTAGTGTATCATAGCCCGCCAAAAAATGTCCACTTTTTAGTCCAGCAAACTCCTCGTAGTAGCTAATCATCCTGTCTATGAGGTCAATGCCTCCCATGCAGTCATTGTAACATTTAATTATGTGTGGACGTGGGATTTGAATATACTTAGAACTTTTTTTTTACACCATCGTTTACAGCTATCTACAGGTTGCTGTCCTAATGCTGTGGAAGATATTAAAATTGGTTTTTGATCAAAGCATTGTTTGTTCTGTAAAACCTCTAGCAAATTTCTTTATTACTTCCACCGCTGTCAAATGTACTGCAGCAGGTATCCTTGATTTCATTATCGTTCCTGT